TCTTGTGCCCTCACACCTTTCATTGGTGGATCTTTCTGCATTGCTTGGAAGCTGCTTGGGTTTCAAACTGAAGTCCAAAATTGTCTGAATCAGTGGAAGTCTTTGAGGGGAATAAAGCACGTGCCTGTTTGCTCATGCTTCACAGGTGGAGCCTCACCTGGGACAAGTGAAAACCTTTCTCCTAAGTATTACTTTAAATGTTTTTCTACATAGTTAAAACCTGCTGCTGTCAGCACCTCACCCGCAACCTCTCTGTGTCCCGCGGGTGCATGGGTATTGAGGTCCTCCTTGACACCAGTGCAGTCTTTCCTGGTCAGCACTGGGGAGCGTGCACCGTCATGCCTGTGTCAGCCGCAGCCTGCCAATGTTTGCATCACCCATGATCCCCACGCTGATGTTGGCCTGTGGTAGCTTTGCTTTACAGCTGAGTTAAACTTGGAAATGGGCGGGGAAGATGTATTGGGCATGCACTGCCGGGCCTGCAGACTCCAAAGGGTGTTCTCCAATGTCTCTCTGGACTCAAGACCTCACCTGAGCAATAGCCAAAATCACCAAGAACTGCCTCCATATGCCTTCAACCTGCAGCGTTTGCTATTGTTCAGAGTGCACAGAAAGCTGGGAGAGGGTGTGGAATACATCTACTTCCTCTTCTAAAATGAAGGGAAATGGCCTGGAGGTACTGAATTATGGAGCAACACACTTTGTTTCCTTCTTGCTTGATGTCTTGGTTCAGAGAGGGGTTTGGTTTGTGCTTACACCTTTGCCTTGTGGTTTAAAAACAACAGTGAAAGAAAACCAAGAACAAATACCGAGTAAGGAGCAGCTGAGTGGATAACCCACAGATCACAGATAACCTACAGGTTATCATGGGGTCACCCTGAGCCATAGCTGGGATCCAAACAATTTAACCTGCCACAAACTGTTCCTACCAGAGAGCATTAGTGTGGTGCTGACCAGGTGTGTTTGACATAGCGTTTGGTGGCACCTCTCTAGAGCAGCACCATACTACCATACTATAAACACAAATAATCCCAATGTGCAGCAGACAAGGGCTGCTGTACGGAGTGATGGACAGCAGCAAGCAGTTTGTGCTGCCTCACCTTGCTGTACCCTAGCACCCAGCACCTGGTGGCACCTACCACGTCTCCGTGCCTTGCCTGTTAGGGGGGAAGACAGGAAAATAAAGCCCTCCCCTGTGCTGGAAAGGCAAAGCATTAATGGCAGGTTTTCTGCACTGGTTTGCAGAGTACTATGAATACATCAAACTCCTTGACCTGGCCTCCTTAGCAGGATAAAGATGATGCAACAGTCATCACACCACCTCATTTTTGTTTGTTTTTTCCTCTGTGTCCTCTCCAAGAGAAAGGAGAACCAGGTACACCCATCTAGGCCCTTCTGGGGGCTCTGCTCATCTTGCAGGGCAGGCAGCAAAATAAATACTCCAGCCTTACCTTCTCTAAACAACGTATCCCAGTAAAGACCCATGCACTGCTCATAGCTGTTTGGGCATGGGAAGCCTGCAGGTTTCTTTTCCTGACAGAAAACTGCTGCCGTTGTGCTGTCGATGCTTGGGTACCTTAGTTTTTAAAAAGAACGACCTTATAGCAATGACTGCACCAACAAAATTTGGCATTCCCACTTTTATATTAAATTTTTTTTATTGAGATGATGTAATTACAGGCATTTTAAAAATTATTTGCAACTCACTGGCCCTGAGAATAGGCTTTTTTTGTTGTTTTTTTTTTTGTTTTGTTACATTCATTTGATTCAGTCCCTCAGCCCCACACCTTAAGAAAACCAAAAAAGCCATCATCAATGAAAACAGACTAGGAGTTTATTAAAAAAAGAAGACCTCAAACTGCTGCGTTCTGGATTTGCACATGGGTGCAGCCTGACAAGGAGATGTAAAGGATGCATGCGTGGAGTCTGAAACCTGAGGATGGTGGCAGCAACTTAGTGTTCACAGGCAGGGCTCCAGTAGTGTTCTTTGGATACAGAGGCAACAGGTTTCAAACTAAAGTCATAGAGTCATGGAGTCATACAATCATAGAACCATAGAATACTTAGGGTTGGAAAGGACCTTAAGATCAACTAGTTCCAATTGCCCTGCCATCAAGAGCATGTCCTGCTGTGTGGGGAACTGCAGCATGTCCTGCCTGACTGGCCTTGTGGCTTGTTCAGACTTGCAGCAAGATGATGGCAATGAAGGTCCCACTTAACTGCACACTGCGAAGATCCTTAGCTGGGTGTTGAGGTTGGCAGGGACTTCTGGAGGTCATCTGGTCCACCCCCCTGCTCAAGCAGGGCCAGTTGCCCAGGACCATTGCTGGAGGGCTTTTGCATATCTCCAAGTACGAGACACCTGTTTTGGTGGCAAAGGCAGAAAATTTGGTTGCTTTGCTGCTGGCAAATTCTACACTGAGATATCAGACACTGGGGAGGGAAGAGGGGTGTCAGGGTTGGTGGTAAGACAGCGTTACCATTGCTAGTCCAGATAGCCATGTGTTCCTTTAGCTTAGTACATCAATTCTGTGTTTGCACTCCACATATCTCCCACTGGGATGTGAGGTAGATGGGAATCTGTCTACTACAGCTGCTCTAGCCTGGTGTTATTGTCTTGTTTTAGTCATATCTGATAACCTTGCTTCCAACACCCCAGAGCAATTGAACTCCTGAAGCTCCCACAACAGGTCCCAGGCCCCTGCAGTTCTGGGCACTCGGTGCAGGCCTGGCAGGAGGCAGGAGACAGCACCAGCCAGAAGATCCTCTGTGGGATCTGCCTGCTCCAGGTTCAAAGGCTATTCTCATTCCAATAAGCGTCAGCCTTGAGAGAACTCTCTGGTTGTGATGGAGAAGAAGTTGTCTTAAGATGTCCTTTATATGTGAACTCAGAGTTTCAACCACCACCACTTTTTTCTCCCCTTAGACTCTGCAGGCGGCAGTGACTGCATTTTTGGTAAAGGTGAATATTTCTTCTACAAAATTCCTCCTAGAAAATTTCCCTATGGTATAACATATGTAATTTCAGGATTCCTTGCTTTTTTTCCTATCTTATCCAGTGCTGAGGATGAACTTTGATAGCATACACAGTGAGCAGATGGGCTTATACTGGTGGATTGCCCCTCCTTGTATTTTGCAGTGTCACTGCAGCAGTGACAAAAACCTGTGGCTCATGAGAGCACTTTATACAGGTCTTGTCACCTTTTTTAGTTCTCACCATCTCAGCAGTAGATGCAGCAGCCACAATAAATTAATGCAGTCACGGAGCTGTCAAGACCACAGCAGTAAAGGATATTTCCTTGCACTGACACCCAATCACACTTCATCTGTCATTCATATTCACCTCTTCACCACACCTTCTCCACCACAGCTCCCAGGACATGGCCACAACTTGGGTGCCCTTAAGCCTGTGGCAGAGTAACTCCTTGGTTTCAAGGGACCTTTAGCTTCTGATCTGTGACTGCTGAAGTCCCTCAGTGCTTCCCAATCTCCAGTTCACGAGCTCCAAGGACTTCAGTCACAACAGAGACAGGTCCACCCATGTTTCTGATACACATTCCCACATCTTTTCTTGAGGCAGAAAAAGTCAAGTACATGGTGTACCGTGACTTGGAACATACGGACTGCGATTTAAGAGAAAAGAAGTGGCTGGGAAAGGCTGATGGAGAGATGTACACCCTATCCTTCCTCATCAGATACTCACTCGGAGAAATCTCTCCTCATATGATGCCTATCTACATCCTTAACAAAGCTGTTCCTTATATGACCTGTGACTCAGTATTAAGCCTCCTGTGAGACTGGACTATCTGTATTTAAACACTGGGGACACTACTCATTGCTCAGTGCCATTTTTTCCTGGATAAACCCTCTTGTTAAACACATGGTGAGATCAAATGTCGTGTTGGTTTAATAACTGATAAAGGCTCTGTTATGGGAACGTACATTGCTTTTTGGTTTAGAATGGATTAGATTAGCCCATTGATTTTTTTTTTTTCCATGTCTAGTATGTGCATTGCCATAAAAGAAGCCTTCTGGTTTTAATGACCTGGTATGGATGTGCTTTTTTCCAGACACCATGTGATTCCTACAGTTTCTCTACACATCTTCTCTCTTTGCAAGCATCACTTCTGCTGCTACATCTTCCTTCCATTAAAATGACCACTGACGACAGATCGCCGGACAACACAGACTTTCCTGTCACAGTGATTCAAGCAATGTGAAATGAGAAAACCCAGTAGTTTCTCTAGTATTGGGCATCAAGGACTGCTGAGCTTCCTGTGACCAAACTAGGCACAGCTCCTTGCCTCATGCAAATCACCCTCAGTGCAGCAAACCAAATCAGGGGTGTAAAAACTGGGGCACCTTGCAACCTGAACAAAACCAAAACCCAAGAAAGGAACATGGCTGTAGGGTTTCTTTTTGCCTTGGCTTTTAAATCATGTCAGAAATGGGCAAGCTGAGACAAACTCCCTCGACGGCAGCGCTGTGGGGTGAGGGAAGGTAGTGGGATGCATGAAAGAAAACAAATCCCAAAACAAAGCCAAAATCAATCACTAGATAGAAGTACAGCTATTTGGTCTCTAGTTGTCTACCATCAGTTTTCAGATTGGTGTATCACGTACCTCTCCAGTGGCGCAAAATGACCCTGAAGAGGTTTCTGAGTAACACAAACCATGTTATGGGTCCCTTTGCCTTCTCCCTACCATGTAAGGAACAGTCCTTCACCTTTCACCCCAAAATTGCTAGCAGATATAAGAAACACCCCTCCCTTTTGTAACTACAGATGCTCCAGCCTTTTCTTTTTTATAGAAAGCATTGAGCTGAACTTCTGCATTGTGGATATATTGTCAATATTGTAGGGGTTACATATATATACATATATATATATGAAATGCTTATATATATACATATATATATATGTATTTGTCCCTGCTCTCCCTCCCCCCGCTCCATTCTATCACTTCCTTGCTAGAGGGAAGGAAAATGTCAACATCAGTCTGTTGCAGAGGTTTGTCACATTTATTTCTCTCCTCCCCGGAGCACTTAGGTGATTGGTTTTGGTCCATATTCCAGCAGTTAATAGCCACTCGCAAAGCTCATGAGCCCAAGCTATGCTGGGATGATATCCCAGCCTACACATGAAGGGTGACTCCTCTTCATTGGACAGGTACGTATGGTAAATTCTTTTGGTAGCTTCAACACATTTCCCAGTGGCAGCACATGTAAATTGATCCAAGCAAACTGGAACCCTTGAGCAAATCCCTTCTTGCGTTGCTGTTGTTTTATGCGGTGTTATGCCATGGGACTTGCACAGAAAATAAGAGCACTCTATTTCCATAGGAAAGCCTTCTAAAAAACAAAAAGCATAATCTGACGTCTTGTCCTATGTGAGATAAGGAAAGTCAAACTGCATGTTTATTAGGGAAAAAAACAACAAAAAAAAAACCAAAACTGAAACAAACCAAAAAGAAAGAAAGAACTCAAGGGAGACGTTGTAGGAACAGTGAAGTAGTGCGTAAGTCCAGGCTTTCTCCCCTTTACTTTTCTGCCAGCACCACTTCAGCCTGCTAGTTTGTTTTGTTAAGGTGCTTCAGGTCCTGCATGATCTTCAAGCTAAGCGGCGACCCCGAGTACTGCTTCCGTGTTGTTGCTTTGCCTCCCAAACAGTGCCAGCCATCCGGACAGATGTTTCTCCCACAGACCCACAGAGGCGGTGCACCAGTTCCCTTCAGCACTCATCTTCTTGGTATATTTGTTCATCCAGTTCCTGGGATTCAAGGTGCTCAAGGCGGTCTGTTCGGCCACTCATAATCTCATCTGGGGTCTTCATGAACCTGCAAAACACAGAAATATGTGATTTCCCAGTGGTCTCAGTTTTTATGTTCATCAAGATGTTGATGAACATCTACATCTCTACAGCTCCCAGAATCATCTCAGAATCACAGAATGGTTTGTATTGGAAAGAACATTAAAGCTCATCCAGTTCCACCCCCCTGCCACGGGCAGGAACACCTCACACTAGACCAGGTTGCTCAAAGCCCCGTCCAACTTGGCCTTGAACACTGCCAGGGATGGGGCAGCCACAGCTTCTTTGGGCAACCTGGGCCAGTGCCTCACCACCCTCACAGGGAAGGACTTCTTCCTTATGCCTAACCTAATTCTCCCCTGTTTAAGTTAGAACTCATTGCCCCTCCTCCTACCAATACAGTCTCTGATGAATAGTCCTGAGTATTTCCCAGCGTCTCCCCAGCCCACTGGTGTCTTCCCTCCTTTGCACCTTGAAAGGAAACCAAAAACTTCACATGCATTTACCCCTGCTCCTTGAAAATTTGAACCAAACCCCACAGTCCTTTAAAAAAAAATGGTATTTCCTTTTTCTCCCTTGTATTGTCTGCTGTTGTTGTTCAAGATGCTAGCATGCCACACCTACACTCATTTACAGTGTCTGGAGACAGACCATTCAAGACCTTTATGGCCAGCATATTTCACAGCAAAAGCACTTGCAAGGTGTGGAGAAGCAGAGGGCTACTGGTTTGTGCTATCTTCTGTGTAGGTGACTGAAGAGAATATGAAACACCAAAGGACTGGGGGTGGAAAAAGCCAAGGACCAAGTCAGAACAAGTTCTGGGAAATGGAAAAAGCCCTGAAAGAAAAACCGTTTGGGCTAGGGAACTGTGAGCAAAGATAGTCTCTTCCTGTGTGATTGTAGCAAGCCTAATTATAATGAAGCAGCATCCTCTGTAAATGAATGCCATGGCTCCTAGCACTAATGTCTTGATGCAGTGAGCCTGCATGGGGCTAGAAACAGAAACTGCCTCTGGGGAGGCATGACAGCAGTAGGAAATGGGAAAGGACATCCACCAGCCTGCAGATCAAGTCTGCAGTCCTGATCTTTGCCAGGATGCTTTTGTGTACTACTGCACAGAGATAGCACGGAAAAGCTCTGCTTTTTCTTTCTGAATTTAATAGCATAGGAAGAGAGTGTGGCACAGGAAGGATGAAATCCTAGTTTAAACACAAATCACTTTCCTAACTCATAAGTACTTCTGGAGAAATTAGGATGAAAGATGTTTATGCTGGACGTGTTACAAAATTTCACAGTCTTCCATTAACGATGCACTGGCTAACATCCAGCAGTACAAAATGTGTTAATCAGAGGAGCTGATTTTATTTCAGGTTGATGATATGCTCGGTACCCTTGCCCCAGTGAAAACAAAACGAACTGACAGGAGCTTTGTTACTATCATTGACCCAGAAAAATCACTGCTGAAGCTTGTGGGCAAGACTTGCCTCCTCTTCTGCCTCTGAGCTTATAAAGCTGAAGGCTCTCTGACTGAAGAATCTGAAGTCTCCCAGCAAATGCATAGCACAGCCTGGAACTAACCTTTTGCCACCCCTTCTAATTTTGGAAACCATGTGCACATATGCATTTAGGGGAAAAAAAAAAAGAAAAGAGGGCTGTGACTCACTGCTGTGTCACTCCCATTTGTATGCTGGAAGAACGCTGCTGATATAAATGGTGTTACCGTGGTCAAAAGCGAGCATACACAAGTGGTGAATCAGTCCCTGGCTACACAGTGAAAATGCACCAAAGCCTACGGGCCAGACTGTGCCCTGATTTAAACCCTGGGCTTGTCTTGTTGATCCTGCAGGAGGAGGAAATTGAAACAGAGAGTGATTCCACTGCCCTCCCTACCTTCTGTCTGCTCTGCTTCCTAAACCATGTGGGAAATGGGCTGGTGTGAATTGTACCGCAGTGCTTCAGGTATTCTTTCTGGTCCGTGTTTTAAATCATGTCAAGGAACTCAAAGTATTTGTAATAGCATTTGATTAAAATTTAAAAACTCAACCCCGAACAACAAGCTAATGCAGAAACAGTACCTGTGACCTCTTCTGTTGAAGATGACACTCAGGCAACCTACTAGAAATCCTTCTCTAACTCCATTTTACTTACAGCTCTGTACAGATATCTGCATAAGAGAACTGTCTTCATGTTACTTGTAGACATATTTCCTATTATTTCTATGCTTGTGAGAAATAGCCAAGGAAGACATATTAATGGCTTGATTTTTTGCAGCTGTTCTTCTTTTTCTCTTCAGATATAAATAGGTCTAAGAAAACAACATCAAAACGTTTTTATTGGGAATTGTGCAAAAAATGCTTTGTTGTTTTTTTTTCCAGTTTCTGAAGGAAATGAGGTTTATATGCTCATGTTTTATGCTCCCTGGTGACCTTTGAATTTGTTGGTCGATTTTGGGCAAGCCTGACAGAGGAACTGAGGTCTCCAAGGGTATTAAGTTTCTACAGTTTTCAGAAAATAGGCAGCCTGGTTGAGAAGACTCCTGTTTTGTTTGTGCCCTTACTGGAGGACAGGCTACAAGATAAGCACATTTGCTGTTCAGCATCACAGAATTCCCCCAGGGCAGCAGAGTCTTCACATAAGGCCATAGCAATACAGGTTCCCTTGGTACTGCTGCTGATGGAGCAACCTTGTTTTAACTTTCCAGAAGAATATCATGCAGTTGATTTTGCCTGTGATTCGTTCTTCCCTTCACTCTCCTTCCCCCATCTAAATCTCCTTCTAAGAGCTGACATCATAAACAAGACATTCCACAGAAACCTTTTCAGCTGTAGATAGTTTGAGTGCTCATGCAGTCCTGTTAGCTATTTAAGAAAACAGACTGTCTTCCTATCAATACCATTTCTAAGCACATTACTAGCTTCAGACCACTGACATCAAAGCAGTGACTTTGATGGCATCTAAGTCTTTGGTCTGAGTTCAGTGCTCCTTGGGTCAGACATACGCATCAGGACTCGTTGGTCTTGTATGAGGAGAACTGGAGTGCTCTCACTCTCTGCCAGCCACACTCAAGTTCGTACAAGTAACTTCCTGCTTTATTGCTGTTTCAGACACTACATCCTAAATTCTTGGTTGTATCATCCCATCCAATGTGTTAGGTTTTATCAACAGCTCCTACAGGTCCCTCTCTTCCTTGTAGGCAGCACTGCTGAAGACATGGTCATCAGCACTTCTCTTCTGTGATGCCAAAGCACTTGAGGAAATGCCTGATGGCTGCTTAGCTTTCACCACCAGCTGTGTCTGAGAAGTCAGTTTGGAGTGGCTTTTCCAGCAGTTTGGCTGAGATCATTAATCATTTAGCTAAGGTCTTAAACAATGGCACAGCCTGCTTGAAGCAAGTGAAAAGACTTCTATTGACTCCACTGATCATTGAAAGAGGCTCGTATTTCTGTAAATTGGTGCAGTTGCCTTGAAAGCTGGGAAGCACTGGTTTAGACAGCTTTTACAAATGTATGCCCATTGTCACCTGTGTTATAGCTGTGGCGATGAAGTATCCCACACACAATTCCATTCTCCATCTTCAAAAACTAATCGCCTGTAGAAAGACAAGGCAAAGAAAAGATTACCTGAACAAAAGCCTTTGTCCTGGCTCCTTCCGGATAATATTTAGTTTGTAGTAGTGGCGCAGGGCTCTGGACATTTTCTCGTAAGTCATATTTGTTCTGTTCTGTTTTTTTCAAGAGAAAAAGGAAAAATGTGGTGAGATGATTCACTGAAATCTTCCTAAGCCCCAAAAGGACTTGCAGAACTATCACAGCTAGCTAAAGTAACCAAGTGAGTTCAAGAAATTACATGTTCCACTCCTTTGCAGGCCCATCCTGCCCCTCCAGCCCTCATCACCAGATTTTTATGGGTCTCTTTTCATTGAGGGCAATTTAACCAAGGAAAAAACAAAAATTCCAAGTGATTTTTTTTCTAGTTTCTTGGATCACAGATAACAAAAGGCTTCATCAACCACAAGAGGAGCCATTAGATGGAGGGAGATGCTGATGCCAAGTGGGACGTGACAGGCTTGTTCTTAATGAAAACCACCTTTTGTAAAAGCATAAGAACAGTGGCTAATAGACTGAATCTGTCAGCAATCCCTGCCAAGAGCTCTGTTCCTCTGGGATTCCCCTCCATTAACTAGTTAATGCTTACAGAGCACTGTGGAGATAGAGAGACTACTTCTCATGTTATATGGGTGTAAATTAAGAAGCCCATTAGGTTGTACATCTGCTTCTATACAGAGCCTCCCCTTCATTTTGGGAACTGCTGACCCGAATGTCATAGTCAGAGCACTGAGTGTCACAAGGCACTGGCAGTGTGGGCAGCCCCCATAGTACTGACTTGGAATAGCAGGATCAGTCCCTTAGGCTATGTCTAGATGAAGAGCATTTTTCTGGTACAACAAGCACTGGTTACTATACTGGCAAAAAAACTTCCATCAGAGAGACAACTATACTGGCAAAGCCATGATTGCACAAGTATTAAGCAGCCGCCTTGCCATGGGCAAAACATGCCAAACTAGTAGAAACATGCTTTTGCTCTGTGAGCCTCCATGTTAGGAGTTTGGCTTGGCACAGTCCAAGATCAGGCAGAAGACTGTAATGTTGAACTGGATTTATTAAATGAGACTGATTTGCCATGTCTAAAATGTCACCTAAGAGCAGACCTCCTCTGCTTGCCTTGGCCATCAACTCTGCTAAGGGAGGCCACATAAAAAGCTGTTTGTCCGGCAAAATCTAGGTTCTGCTCATTGGGAAGCCCCCTGAAATACCGTGTGTGCTTTTTCCATTTCTTACATACTAAAAAGCCACTGTGTTTCCCAAGTGGCTCATGCAGCTTCAGTTTTAGACACACAACATGAGACATGATGGCAAGGCCCAATTATTAGCATTGAGGTTGGGTAAAATCTGAACTCTCCGTTCCCAGTATTGCAGCTCAAGACCTCTAAAACAGATGTTCTTGTAAGCACTGAGTCACAGGAGAAAATCTTGACCTTATCAAGATTTTAGGCTATGTATACTAATATATATACGTATATATGTAATCCATACATACTCAGCCCCAAACTGCAAAAATCAGTAACTGTTTTCCAGAGGACAGAGCAGAATTACACTCTCAAAAGAAAATACGTAATACTGCAGCATTTAGTGTCTGTCACAGGACAGTGTGTGAAATCTGGATGTTGGTGTAGACAGGAACACAGAGAGAAAGCTCCTACTGAGACATAATATACAGACTACATCTGAGCAGAACACCCTTAGCGTCAGGTTTTGGGAAGAAATGAGGTGCCTCGAGAGAGAAGGACCGTTAATTCTTGCACTCCTTGTAATTTTATAATTAAATGCATTTATAGGTAAATGCCTTTAAACCAAACCACCAGGTTCTGTATATGAAAGGTAGGTTTTAGTGCTCGAGGCTGGATGCTTTACATTTCTAATGTGCATAGAATGAAAGATTATAACTTTACAGCAGTAGTTTATATGCACATGCTTTCTTCCTATTCCCCTTGCTTATAAGTGAATCCTATGATGTTACGAGAAGTGGAGTGCTGCAGGAGGAAAACTTCATTGCTTCCTTACCTTGTGGTTTCCCCACAGCCGGGCCAGCCCGTTGGGATCCACTATCCGAAATATTTTGGATTCCTTATCTTCCCATCGGATGAAATTTTCGTACCGGCTGTCAGAAAGCAGCTGATAAACATAATCCCAAAGCAATCTACAGTCTGTGAAGAGAGGAACAAGCAAATAGTGATTTTTTTTTTTTCCTTGGGACTAATTCTGGAAACTTTTGGGTGGATGTTCAGTGAAAGGACAGTTGGGATCAGGGCTGAAACAGCTGCTGCAGTCTGAAATGGCTTGGTTGGTATAGACTAATGTTTGCAAAAGGCAGTGGAATATACAGCCTCTTCTCATGCATCCCAATCCTTCTGGCACTAACTGAGCATCTTTATCACATTAAAAGCTGTATAAGATGACCTGCTGATCTTAGTTGTGTGTTTATTGTTGTACTGATGCACATAAAACTACCACTATTGGCCCTGATGATGTTGCTGGCTCTTTCACTGAGGAAATCAAGAATCCTGCAGCCTGCTCTTCCTTGCTTGAGGCTGTCCCTTTCTGTCCTAATATGTCTAAAACATGGGCAGTGTTACAGCTTTCCTTTGTATACTCCACACGATATAAAATCTACCATTTTTTAATTTGCTTTTTGTTTTATTTTTTAAGGTTTCTGAGAAAAAAACCCAAGTATTGTAATTACTTGAGTGCTATTGAGAGGTTATATACTTTCTATTTGGATAATTGAATTCAAATTTCCTCTTGGCAAACACTCCTTAGGTTGCTAATTAAAGGTCTAACAGATACTTAGGTTTTAGTTTAGTGTTTTTCACTTTCATGGCAGTCTCTTGAGATCGAGGAAGCCAAGAGCTGAGCTGCTCCTACTTCCTGCTTGCAGTGTATGCGTGCACAGCACAGCATAATAACTGGCAACTATGAAATATGTAAAGTGAATTGCACAGAGCTGGGGGTTCTGCTGTTTTCAGAAACAACAGGGGTTTTATAGCTCAACTGTCCAGATCCCTAAGATGGACTTACAGTTGCATTTTACTTTGAAAGCAATACCAGTCTCTGAGAGATGACTTGTTAAGAGTAGGTAAGTAAAAGGCAGGCAACCAAAGACATCCAGCTTCTAGGTGATAAAGCTGGATTCTTGTTAGCCCGTCTTTCCTTTTCAAGTCTGTCTGTCTGGGGTTAGGAATGTGTTACAATAGGGATGATGACATGTTCCATATGAGAATATAAAATGCTTTTTGAAAAGGGATATGAGTAACACATTTAATGAGCATACCTGAAATGCTTAGAGATATTAACATTATGGATGTTTTTTTTCCATTTTCAAACTGTACAGAGTATCTCTGAAACCTGTACTGTCTCTAAAACAGAGCTTACTTTGCCAGTGCCCTTACTATAGACTCTCCCTATCGGTCCTTACAGAGAACAATGCAGAGAAGCCTTCCTTTCCCTGTTCCCCCATCAGAAGGCACATATGTGGGCCAGTCACCTATTCTGTGGCTGCAGATATCAAGTAGGTAGCTGGCTGCAATGCCGAACACTGCTGCAGCTAACCCCTTGTGCGGTGTGGTACAAGTGACTTTCCCTGGACCATGCAGGAGGCCTGTAGAAGAGCATGAAATAGGAAGTCTCAATTTCTGTCATCTTTCCCCTCACAAATTCACAAAACACAGTTCTTCCATCACCTTTCCATCAATAATCTTTCACAAACACATACACTTAGTCTCTTAGACATGCATGTACTAGAAAAAAAACCTTCTTTTCTAAATTTAATTTATACGGAACAAGGGAAGGGAGATTATATTGCTCTACTGCTTTGCGCCTTTTAATAATGTGGGGAAGTGCTCAGATAATAGGGTAGTAAGGGGCCATGTAAGTGGTTCCTTGACACATGTACAATTCATTCCACAACGCACAATGAAAGGCTGTACATAGACTGATTTTTTAATGCAACAACCTTAATTCAAACCAAAACCAAAAAAAAAAACCCAAACAACAAAAGAATTATGTTTTGGGTCCTATCTATCTATCTATCTATCTATCTATCTATCTATCTATCTATCTATCTTTTTCCTTTTTCTTTAGTTTCCTTCTCTGACTCCCAAGGGCATATTTTATCAGCCGATCAGAGTCGGTAATATTCCTGCATTCCAAAACTACCTTTTTTTCCCATCATCCCATGTAATCTGTGATAATTAGCAACAAAACCTGTACAGACTAGGTCAATGGTTCATGCTGAATTCACTGTTCTCAACCAGCTTTTCCCAAAGATCTCCATGCTTTCTTTCTATGCAGTCCTTCATTAAAATCAACCGTAAAGGTGATGCAATTCCCGAGATCAGCAGTGAATCATCACCATGGCAATCACTGGGCAGTACTGGCCTAAACACTGGTGGTGGGTCTAAAGCTGGCCCCACCTCATCTGCAAGAGAGGTCTGTCTTGATGGGAGCAGGTTCAAATCAGAAAACATTTACTTAGCTGATATTTGTGAAGGAAAAATGAGACATATTTTTGGCCAAGGCAGGAATTTATTAGAAATCTGAGGGAAGAGAGGAAGGACTTGTGGGTCTGTTGTTGAAACAGCACTTTTGGATTGTGATGAAAGTTTGCTGAGGTGGTTGGCTGGTGTATGGCCCCATTGGGAGAGTGCTGCAGGAATCTGGCATCCCAGTTATCAGTCATTTGGTTTTACTTCTGCCATTGCTGTTAGTCCTGGCAGGAGTGGCTCTCCCTGGGTTCGGCTGGGGGAATGGAGCTCCTGCAGAGGCAAGTCAATGTCAAGCTCTGGCACAGTCCTGAATGTGAAGCCCAGGACAGACACTCTCCAATTATAGCAACTTATAGCTAATATTTACACAGAGATATGATTTACCCTAAACTTTACTTTCACCTCATTATTTGCAACGCTATGCTATTTTTAATCAGTAGCGTACTACTGTAACTATGCTCTAGAAAATTTCCAGTGCTATAAATATAAGTCTTACTGATGGGGATGGCAGACCCCTAATATCCTCTCTACCATGGCCCCTGGAAAAGTTTCAAGGAGCTGATGGCTTCTTGACAGCTGACTGGAATTGCACACACAATGTGCACTGCATTGTGCTAGGGCTGCATGTTCACCTCAGTGTGGCCAGCAAGTAACTTCTAGTTGAACCTAATGGCTTTCGTTACGTTCCATTACCTATCATTACTACACACACACACATACACTCACACACACTGCACCCTTCTCCTTCACAAAAACAAGAAAGCACAAAAGATTCACCCCAAGATATCTGGGTGGCAAATTACTGGACTAACAACAGAGCTTCAGACTCTAAGAACAGGTAGGATTCAAGTGCAGATTTGTTTTCTGTTGTTCACTTAATTTTTAGAATGGATTCAGGCTAAGCTTGAATATAAATATTCCTCAAAGGAGAAGAACTCAGATCTGCATCTTGAGATCTTCACAAGAAAAGTCCTAAGTGATCAAGGGCTCCATCCCATATTCTAAACTGACTGAGCTGCTCAGACTTGCAGAGGTATTTAGTAGGCTGGTGGTATTTGCAAAAATACCCAACCACCAAGTATCTCACAACTCTGTTTGCTTCAGCAACAAAACTGAAAATTCTGGAAAATTCTGCTTGGCTCTACAACCACTTACAAACCTGTCTTCAAAAGCTACAGCTCTCTAGCAGCAAATTTAGATACACGACTGAGTTGCAATAATTTAAAGAGCTGGAATGCTTCAATGCAATAGTGGTAACATGTCTCAAGCCACTGCAAATAGGAAATAAAAAGCATCAGCTTTAAACACCAGTGGAAAAGATTCAGGCTCACTGACTTTCTTCTCATCTCTGCTGGGAGCTATGAGGGTGCACACTGTCAGTCATCATGGACCAGCTGATGCTTGGCAGCACAATTTAGTTAAATATATGAGCTCTGTTTGCAGAGTACCTAAATCAGTTTGACTTCTTTCAAGTTTTGCATGGGAGACTTTTAGGAATTTGAGTATAGGCACTCAGGTGTTTGGTTTTGGTTTGGTTTGTTTTTTTAACAACAAATGATTTACATCCTGGGTATCTTTCTCCAGAGATTGCAAGGTATAGACCCATAAGGTTCTGGAGGGGTCTTGATGGCTTAAAGAGTGGGAGCAACCAAATAATCCATTGTTATTAGCCTAGTAGAGACCATCTTTAATAGGACAATAGAGACTACAGGTCAAAGACTGCTGGTAACTCTTTGCAACTGTAATGAATGTGGCGTAGAGCCCATTTGGAGCAGACTGCAAGACAATGAAGTTGATGAAAACCCAAGAAGAGGCAATGCTAGAAAATGCTATTAAAAGGAGCTTCTCCACTGGGGAAAGAGGCAATTCTACAGAAGGTTGGTGAAGACAATACAGAAAGTTGCATCCTCCAGGAAGGTCAAAAGTGTTGCATACATTTTCAGGAATGATGGAGAAATGGAGCACAGACTTGTATGTGGATGGTTGTTTTCTAGGTGCAAATCACTTTTCTGAGGAAAGTCCGGGTGGTGTGAACGACTCCATGAAAACTCAATCACTTCCTTGGCTGTCAGGCGGCCTCCAAAGGAACAGTCACATGGGGAAACACTCCACAGGGAGTGTGTCTGCTAGTGAGCAATGGCAAGAAAGCACGTGGATATTGCTAAGGCCAAGTAAGTTTAGAAGTGTGAGATTCAATAGGGGAGCTGAGTCAGGGCTGGTACCTAAATTGTTTGGGTGTGCAGCAATTTCCTGCCTTTTGGCTAAAATAAGCTTACTTAGAAAGCAAGTCTGCCTCTAACACACGGAGGCATCACTTCCCCCTAACACACACATGTACTTTTTTACAGGAAAGTGAACTTAGATGATTGAACTTTGTACAATCTGATGGTAAAGGGATTTAGCTGTGCAGAGCTGGGACTGAGAGGGTTTCAGATGATGTGGTATCAAACAACCTAGCCAAACTGGGAGGGTAGTGAACAGCGCCCTGAACAGCACCCAGGAATGGGGCAGGAGTCCTAAAAGCTGGCATTTCCATGTGCCACCATTTTCACAACTGTACTACTGGGCAAGACTAAACTACATCATTAGCTGGGAATTAGAGCAAACTGTCCCTTCAAATGGAGAGGCATGCCTACAACCTTCTGGCTGCAACTACTGCTCCT